ATTTATCATTCACTTTTATTTCTATGAGAGATTGTGAAGGCTCCTGTGTTGGTTTCTTTGTTCATATTTACCAGGGGGATAAAAGTGTCACAAACACYGACCTTACAAAAATGCTGTGGCAGCATCAAAGAAACCCTGACTTCACAAAATGTGATGTGTGCGTGTTTATAAACAGAGCTTCAGGAGAACACAGAAGCACTGAAAACCAAGATGTCAGAGCTCCGGTTGTACTGTGACCTTCTTCTCCAGCAAGTAAACAAGATCAAGGAGAGTGATGAACCAGGAGAAACAGCTGAGGTAAGGTCTGGTCGAGCTGATGGAACAGCCGTAAAGAGTGGCACAAMTGCAGGTGGCTAAACCTGAAATATTTTATGTGCTATTTTTGTTCACACATCATAATTAGAAAATTCTTGTACAAGAAGATTTCTGTGTTGATTTAATTTTTTTTTTTTTTTTGCTAAAATCAGTTTTTGTCCTTTCAGAGTGGAACAGACACTGGAAACTTGGTGAGGTCAACGTGCACTACTTTCCTCAAGACTCTAGAGGAATGCATGCAGATAGCAAACCGTACTTTTAATACAGACACAACGACGCACAGTCCACCAGGAACTCCTCCAGTAGCAGCCATTAAGCCCCAGAAGGTACATTTCGGTCTCCAACCCTCTGACTTATCAGGCTGGTGCAGCCAGTCCTTCCATGTTTTCAGTGATTACAATTATTTTAACCACCGTTTCTCCCCCTTCCAACAGATTAAACCCATCAATTTAAAGCAGAACCTTGAAGAGAAGTAGGTGGAATTTTTTTAATTACTTTTGTACAAATGTTGTGCCGTGAGCTGTTACAATTAGTGATGTCAGGAGGCAGTTAGGGGTTACTTCTAACCTAAGTCCTTTGAGGTCAGGTTTCTGGTGAAACCACTTCTTTTGACCTAATATACAAGTTTTCTTTCATCACTTTGTTGCAAGTTACAGACTAGACCAGGGCTATTCAACTAAACTGCTCCAGGGGCCACAGTTACTGCAGGTCAACAGCTCGGGCCGAACATCCAGCAATTAAAATCATTATGTAAATAAACCAAGTATTATAAAGATTTGTTACCTTTTGAAATAGTTAATTTTGCTGCATTTAACCCTGAATATAACATGCAGAACCCTATAAAAGTAGTGATAATTAAACAACATCAAAAACAAAAAGAACACATTATGCCTCATATTTAACACAAATATTATTTTGACATCTCTGACTTTCCAAATTTGTAAACCAATTATATTTTCACTTTCATAGTTTTTCTTTTTTAAGCCACTTAGATAGAAAGCAGTACTGAATATTAATTTCTTAGTTTCTTCATCATAAGTGACTTT